CATTCCTCTGCTGTCAGCAGTGAAATCCACTGGTAAAAAAAGTGTCCCATCCCCCTCTGGTGCTGGTCCACATAAAGGATAACAAGCTGCTGCCATCAGTTACTGCATTAGCTCAAGTGACAGAGTCTATGAGGTGAATCTAAAGGTTCCAACCCTGCTGATGACCCATGTCAGTGTCAATATGATGCCACATGATGAAATCTCCTGAGGAGGGGTGGGGGTATCTGCTTTTAAAGCAAAGGAAATTATATAGAAGAAGCTATGTTAAAAGGGACATTATGAAGGCTTCAAAGTCAAACATTTAAAAGTTAGGACATGCCAGAATTAAGGTTGCCTGTGCTGCCATGTGCATATGCGTTATGATACAGTCTTTAATTGCATGATCATATAGTACTTTTCCCCCACCTGCTCTAGGGATGAATCAGGGTTGCATACTGAAGAAGACTGTCTGTGGGACCCCTGCAGAAGTTGGAAGATGTGTAGCAAATGAGGCAGGAGATTGTAGGATGGTCCCACAGTTAAGGCAGTTGAATGCGACCTGGAGAACTGGATTCTACCCCTGCTTCTACCACAGAGTGACTAAGTGATGCTAGACAAGTCACTAAAACCAAACTTTTCACAAGTGATCACTAACTGTGTGTTCGTCATGTTCTGGGTGTCTAACTTGAGACCTGGGGTCTGATTTGCTTAAGTGCTGAGCACTCACAGCTGCAACTGAAGTCAATGAGAACTGTGCTGTGAATATCTGAAATGCTATATAATGCTAAACACTCTGAAAAATCTGGTCCTAGGTATCTCAAAATTGGGCAGCCAAAATTAGTGGATACTTTAGACCTTAATCTCTCTATGATTCAGTTTGCCATTTGTAAAATGGAATAATAAACCCCCTCGACTCCAGCATGTGTTGTGAACATAAATTCGTTAATGCTTGTGAAGCATTCAGATGCTATAGCAGTGGTCCCAACCTTTCTGTGGGAATAGCACATTCCTATTCCCAACAGACTGCGGCAGGCGCCAAACACCCCGCTGCCGAAATGCCGCCGAGAAGCAGCAGTGGAAAGAAGCCTCGCTGCCGAAAAATGGCAACACTTCTTGGCGATATTTCAACGGGCAGTTCTCAGGTGGCCAGGCTCGGCGGTGGCATTTCGGCAGCACGGTGTCCTGCAGGCGCACACAAGTGACCCTGCGGGCGCCACTGCACCCATGGGCATCGGGTTGTGCTATAGTGATGAGGACCACAGAAAAGCCTATGAGGAAATTAATAATTCGGTCTTCAGAGCAGGGTTTGAAAAATGTGCAGTAAACACAGCATGGGGCCACACACCCCGAACAACGAGGAGAAAAAAGTTGCTCATTAAGTGAGCACCGTCCATTCTGTGCACTGAATGAACAAGGGGTCCTGTAGAAAAAGAAACCAAAAACTTTCTCTCATAATGCATACATATAAGGAGGCTGCATTAAGGTTGCACAGGCAGTCTGGATTCTGGCATTTCCTAGTTTTTGATGCTTGACTTTGCAACTTTAAAAATGTTCCTTTAACATAGTTTATGCAGACTACTAGTCTGCATAATAAAATAAACTTCCAACTCGTAAGGTACTTTAGGATACATTACAGCCTATAAGCTTTAGCATGCTGACAATTATGTACTATGATTATATTCACACCGCATCTGGTTTAATGTGTGTCAATACAGACAGATATATACCTTCAGAAGTTAGAAAAATTCTAACATAGCAGCAACATTTGTTCCACATTCCATTAGGAAAAAATAGGTTGATAGAAAAAAGAATATGCCAGACTTATTTTACAAGGATAAAACATTGTGTGACTCAATAGTATCCTCTACTGGTCAGTCATATTTTGTTCTTGCTATTTCAGATAGCAGCCTATAACCTAAACAAAATGATTAAACTTTCCTGCTTACAAAAACAAAAATTAAAAGAAATAGCCAATGGGAAAAGTTTGACATCCATGAAGAATCAACTTGGAAAGAGGTAGTCATTAAAATGTCCACAATAAGAAAGATCTGAGGGCTGTATTAATGACATTTTGAAGATTTATCAGTTCATGTATTTCTATTCAGTTTTATGCTGCTGACTATCTAGGGCAGTGGCTCTCAAACTTTCCAGACTACTCTATCCCTTTCAGGAGTCTGATTTATCTTGTGTACTCCCAAGTTATACCTCACTTAAAAAAATCAGATATAAAAATACAAAAAAGCGTCAGAGCACTCATTACTGAAAAATTGTTCACTTTCTCATTTTTACCATATAATTATAAAATAAATCAATTGGAATATAAATATTGTACTTTTATTTCAGTGTATAGTATACAGAGCAGTATAAACAAGCCATTGTATGAAATTTTAGTTTGTACTGACTTCACTAGTGCTTTTTACGTAGCCTGTTGTAAAACTAGGCAAATATCTAGATGAGTTGATGTACCCCCTGGAAGACCTCTGCGTACCCCTAGTTGAGGGCCTCTGCTCTAGGGGATAACTCCTGTACAGAACCTCTGCTCTAGGGGATAACTCCTGTACTGTACAAATGAGTATTTGTGGTATTTTTCTTCTTGGGCTAAAAGCAAACATTAGGAACATCTTCAGAAATATTTATCACACGTTAAGGGAGTAATCTATGAAATGGCTAATTGAATTTTGGAGTATGCAAACGTGAAGTCATTCATTTTTGATCCCAAAGATTCTAAAGCAACAGATGGTTGGGTAATACTGACAAAGAAAGGTACTTGTGGATTCAAGTTAGCAGTAACAAAGATAGAAGTGCATCACAGATGGTAAGAGAGACTAACTGGCACAATGTTTAGATAAGAAAAAAGGCAAATTATAACAGTGTATCATGTTATGATTGGGGTCTACCTGGAGTATGGCATCTGGTTTTCAGCACCATGCCTGTCCAGAAAATGTACAAACTCTGGAGGAGATCCTGAGAAGAACTACTAAATTTGTCAAAGATATGGGAACCCCAGCAATAGTGGCAGGCAGAAGAATCTAAGCTTACAACTGAGAAGCTGATAGGGTTAAGGAAATCTTATTGCAATGTACCTAAAAAAAGACCACAAAAACTTGAGTAAGGTCCTATTCCAAATAAGCAACAAAGGAAATTAAGAGACTATGCAAAGTTTAGCTATGTGGTAGTAAGATTTATCAACATGATTTTTTCTAGATGACAACGAGCATCACACATCTGTAACTTGTGTTTATTACAATTTGAATTCATACACTACGTGCATAACTTACTTTAAAAAAGCAACCTGACAGAGGTTTGGGTGAATATGGGGATAAGCATAGCCCACGAGAGAGAAGAAGAGTCTTTGGCACCCCGGCAGAATTGGTATTAGGATTGCTTGGTCTGACTACATTTTCTCAGATGTACATGTAGGAGCCTGTTTTGGACTAGTGCTTGTGCTTTACCTCTGATGATGGTATAAGAAACACAATGTGGCAATCCAGAATACAAATGGCCAAAGGAACATATCACTAAATTTGTAGTTTAAACAGCCTATTAAAAAGAAAGATCGCAGGCAAACTGTCATGTAGGATATTTAAATATTTCCATGCCTCAATCACATTCCAGAAAAAAAGAAAATCCCAATTTATTCTTTTTTAAATGGACAACTTGATTCCCTCTATACTGAACTGAATATAACAAGATTATGCAATCTAACTTAAATGTCTATTAAAATTGTAACAAACAAGGTGTAGGGTATATGACCGTAGTTGAGAGATGCTGATGGCCCCCATACACTTGTCATAGGTAGGGCCCTACCAAATTCATGGTCCATTTTGGTCAATTTCACAGTCATAGGATTTTAAAAATGGTAAATTTCAGCTATTTAAATCTGAAATTTCACAGTGTTGTAATTGTAGGTGTCCTGACCCAAAAAGGAGTTGTGGGCGTGGGGTCACAAGGTTATTGTAGGGGAGGAGGCTGCATTACTGCTACCCTTACTTCTGCGTTGCTGCTGATGGCAACGCTGCCTTCAGAGCTGGGCTCCTGGCCAGCAGCTGCTGCTCTCCAACTGTTCAGCTCTGAAGGCAGCGCTGCCATCAGCAGCGGCGCAGAAGTGAGGGAAGCAGTAACGCAACCCCCCCCCACTACAATAACCTTGTGACCCCCCTACAACTCCCTTTTCGGTCAGGACCCGCAATTTGAGAAACACAGGTCTCCACTGTGAAATCTGTACAGTAAAAAGGAGTTGTGTGTGTGTGTGTGTGGAGGGGGGGGTCAGAAGGTTATTGTAGGGGGGTTGCGTTACTGCTCCCTTACTTCTGCACTGCAAAACAATGTTAACCGGGACGACTTTAAGTGAGGAGTTACTGTATATAGGTTCAACATAATGGGACAAGCACAGAGCTACAGACATTGAAAATGATGGCAGGTTATACAAATAGTTATTTCTGATTTAGTTTAAGTCATACGATTTATTCTTTGTGTATCAATATACTTAATGGGTTTTGTTGTCAGTGTGTAGATATGGTTTCCCCGCCTCTTAAGACCAGGCATGCAGAAAAACTAGTATGTGCCGAGTTAGTTTAGTCTACTTAATCTGCCACCCAGAACTGAGGATACATTAACTAGATTTAAATAGAAGCTGTTTCCCTCAAGTGGAACATTTCTACAGGAAAGAAAAGCCATACGATTTTAAATCCATTTCACATACTTTGACAAAACAAGAGTGTTTTTTTCAGTAAGATGATATATTTTTCTTTCAAATATATGTACATACTGCGTGTTCAGATACTATAGAAATGGAGGCCATACAAGTACCTAGGATATTATTTCACACTCCTGCCTAACTACATAAGGCCATCAATTATTTCAACAACATTTATTCTGGCCTTAATATAATAAAAAGTTTAAAAAACTAAAGAGAAACTTCAAGGCTGTCTTATTAGCTTGGCAACCATTTAATAGTGGCCCATCTGATAGCAAGCAGCCTTTCCCTCTACATTGATCCAAAACAATACTTTTTAACCTACCAGATTCTCTCTTTCAATCCTTTGCTGCTCCTTTTGCCTGTTGAGAGCACTATGGTACAACTTAGGCGGCAGGCCAGCAGGTTTCTTCAGAGTGGCACTTTTGTTCCTGGGCTTTGCAGATTGTCTGGACAGTTCTTTTAACAGCCTTTGGTTTTCCTGATCAATTTGTCTTACTTCGTCATTTGTGAAAGAGTAATTTTTCCTTGACCCTGGAGTTGGCTGATCAATGACCAGTTGTTGCTGTTCCTTTTTCTCCAAATGTAGAAAAGCTTTAAAAAAAAATAAAAGCAAAAACACACAGATGAAAGACACCACGTGCAAATAATTTGATATTACTAGGATTTATTTATTAGACCTAAAAAAATAAGTCAGAATTTTTGAACATGTGGGCCTCCAGTTCAACATTTAGACGCCTAAATAAGTGGCCTTATTTTCATTAATGTCAAGCACCATCAACATATTATTTTAATGGGAGATGCCTGGCACCTCTGCAAATCATGCCACTTATTTAGTTAGAAAATGTTAGCCATCATGTTTTCTGCCCCTCCCGGTTTTAAACTGAAGAATCACACTTAGGACCTGTGCCTGAAAGGTGCTAAGCACCTGTGACTCCTACTGACATGGGGCTGAGGGTGCTGAGTACTTACCTCTCAGGCTCAGGCGTTAAAGAGCCATCAGTATGCAAATGCACGCAGTATATGCTGTAGATACTTTAACAAGGCAGAGCAAAGAGAAAAGAAGACTGTGTTATGGACACAAATCAGCAACGTGCAAAGCTGTTTCCTTTTGACTTATCAGCACAAGCTAGGCTCCAGGCAACCAAAACCTACTGCTCTGTACCTTTACGCACATGCTCCTACACTCCCTTGTCCAGTGATAAAGTATAGTCAGGGAAGACTTTAGCTAAAGGAGCAACTATCTTCACTGTAAAAAGAAAAGGAGTACTTGTGGCACCTTAGAGACTAACCAATTTATTTGAGCATAAGCTTTCGTGAGTTACAGCTCACTTCTTCACTGTAGTTATTGTGGCACCAACAATCATTACAGATGTCACAGTAATCACATATATGCATGTGTGTCTATTGTTAATAGCATGCTACCATAGCACTGAACACAGGTATTTCACGATGATTGGTGGCACAGCAGTGCAGTATCATTTGTGATACTAACATAAGCCTCACAGAAGTTTTCTAGCAGTTGTAAAACAGTTTCAGGAAAGCCAGGGCTAGAAACTACCCCATGGCACCATCAATTAAGGTAAAATGAAGTTTTAGATGTTGACACAGCGTTTGCTCCCAACATGTACAAAGTTCTGTAAAATATCTGCCCCAATTGTGCAATTGCGATAGAATCACATTTTGGATACAGGAGCAGTTGCCTTTGTGAGGAATACAGGAACTAGGAGGAGAAAGTTGAGAACACAGCACTGGAACAAGGAGAAAAAATGTATTTCTGAAGATTACTATGAATTTGGTACAGGACTCCCAAACAGAAGAGTTTTACAAGTGATCCTTGTTGGAGAGAGAGAAATAAGCGAATAAATGTATGGCCACTTTAAAACAAATAATAGAGAAAAAGAGATGAACCTGGCCTAGAAGTATTTAAATAGTCAATAAACAAAGAATTAAAATAGTGATATGGCAGCATAGACCAAAAGTCAAGCTTGAAAACACACACAATTCACACCTCAGAGTACTTCAATATGCCAAGGCAGATTCAGCATTTTTAAAATGGGCAAATCCTTGGATGGGAAATATTTGGTTCCAGGTGAAAAGATAATCAGCATTAAAGGCCAAGCCTCTCAAAAGTGATTATTGGATGTCTGGTTTTTGGTGCCATTCCACACAGCTTCAAGGAGCACGATTTTCAGCAAATACTGAGCACCACCTTTGTAAAAAATTGGCTCCTTTAAAGGTATTTCAAGTTAGGTTCTCAAAAACTAAGGCACTCAAAATTCCTAGTCACTTTTGGAAAACTTGACCTGAGCGCTAACACTCACAATGAGCCAGAAAAGCTTTAATTCAAATACAAACAGTTACCATGGGAACAATTGAACTTGACCAAGCCAGAAGAACCTCCGATAAATGTAAAAACTGAACTTCGGCAACACTAACTGCAGGACAGGTCACATCAGGAAAGACAGTTTAGTCAATTTATCAAGCTAGTATGCAAATTACCATGTAATATATACTACAATGCAAAACTAGTGAAGACCAAGTGTGCACATAACACATTAAAATGCCTTGAAAAACATCTTTGCAACTTAGTACTTCATTTATAAACAGAAGTATAATTATTTACCAAAGTCATTCAAAGATACAAATCTGGGTTCTGACTCATCCAGATAAACCCACAGAAGACAAAAAGGAACAAACTAAGAATACCTATGCTACATGATTCATGTGGAAAAATGAAGTGGCAGTGCTCTTCCTTAACGCAACAATATCAAATATATCTCCGTGGGAACACGCAGAGCAAAAGCTGCAGAACATGAAAGTACTTGGAAGAGAGACACTAGTCACTTGGAAAATAGTCTGTAAAAGAGATTTGTTACATATTGTGAATGACAAACGTACACAATTGCCAACTTTATTACTCCAGAGATGTTGAAGACAAATGATCCCCTATAGTCATACTTCTTATGATTTCATAAGGTAGGCAAGGTCAGCACTTGGATAGGATCCAAGAGGGAAAACCAGCTTACTCTGAGAAAAAGTTTTCAACCAATTCCCTAGAATTGTGTTGGGGTCACTAAGCTCTTGGCAATGCAATCTCTCAGAAGAGACTATTCAGCCCCTGAATACTTGTTACTGAAGACCCCACACACTTCTCACACAGGAGGGAAGTGTTACTATTGGTCTACTGTTCAAATTCCACTTTGGTATGTTCAATTCCATCTCTTACCACACTGCTCCAATCACGTGGTACCTCCACCTCCTTGCCCAGAGATTAGTGATTACTGCTCTAGGGTTGCTGGATAGGGGACGCCTCACTGCTGCTGCTTTTTCTGCATCATCTCTCACTGCCACAATGTCTTCGGCCATGTTGCAGGTGTGACGGTGCACCTCATAAGGCTTTGTGGAAATATGTTTATGAATGTACATGACATAACTGGATTATGTTTTATGATACATATACCATGTAACATAGCTCTGTAAAGGTTATGATCTACTGAATCTATTCATCCTATCTGTATGCATGTACCATTTTTGTATTCGAAGTTATGAATACTGGCGGTGTACTTGCTTGATTTTTAAGCAGCCTTAGTAAAGCATTTGGTCAGCTTCTTGAGAAAGGAATGTACAAATTAAGTGCCCAATCAAGAAACACTTAATGAACAATGGTTCTCGGAAGGCTCCAATCCACGCAAGAAGTCTTCCTGGAGACATTCAAGATAGCATGTGCGCAATATCTGCTGTCTGTAAAAACTGAGTCATGCATGGACATGTGACTTGCCCATGTGAATTCAAAAGCTCCATCTTGGAGCTGGACTTTGCGTAGGAGAGAGGAGAGGGTCTCCACTCACAAGAGAAGGTCTATTTAAGCCCGTGGAAGACCCCTCCATTTTGTCTTCAGCTGGCTCAAGAGATAGCCAAAGGATACCTGAAAGAAACTGGAAATGAAGGACAGTAACCCCAGGGGATGTGAGTGATTGCTGGACCCAGATTATAAGGAGACTAGTCTGTAAAAGGAAGCTTACTGGAACACCTCTGAGGATGAGGTTTTAATCTGTATTCAGTTTTCTTACTGTATTAGGCACAGACTTGGGTGTTCTATTTTATTTTGCTTGGTAATTCACTTTGTTCTGTCTGTTACTACTTGGAACCACTTAAATCCTACTTTCTGTATTTAATGAAATCACTTTTTACTTATTATTTAACCCAAAGTATGTATTAATACCTGGGGGCGGGGGTGGGGTGGGGTGGGGACAACTGTGCATACCTCTCTATCCGTGTTATAAAGAGGGCAAACAATTTATGAGTTTACCCTGTATAACTTTTATACAGGGTAAAACAGATTCATTTAGGGTTTGGACCCCATTGGGAGTTGAACATGTGAGTGTTAGAGACAGGAACACTTCTTACGCTGCTTTCAGTTAAGCTTTCAGTTTGTTCAGACCTGGGTCTGTGTTTGTGGCCAGCAAGTGCGTCTGGCACAGCCAGGCAGGGCTCTGGAGTCCCAAGCTGGCAGGGAAAGCAGGGGCTGAAGTAGACTTGGCACATCAGCTGGCAGCCCCAAGGCGGTTTCTGTGATCCAACCCGTCACAGCAGGCTCCAGGTTCTGAAGCTCCACTGTCCAGCCCAACTATTAGCGATTTTAGCCATCAGTTATTTTCACTGGGTAAGAGGGGAACTATGCCACAGCCGCTTCCTCTGCATCATCTCTCATTGCAACCCAGCTCATCTCTGATTGGCCCATGATGCTAACCTCTATCACCCCACTTGTTAAATTTTCAAAACAAATATGCTTGTGCTTTCTCTCATGCTGGAGCAGGAGGGGCTCCCTAATAGTATCTGCAAAGCTACCTCATTATCAATCTTCGTTTCCCATCTCAAAACTCTCCTTTGCTGCGATGCATATAAAAAACCTGACAACAGTTAGGCCCTTGGTGTGCTGAGATCACAACCTATTACACTGACCAATACTGTTTCCTTGCACTCCCCCACTTCTGTCTGTATCCATCTGTTGTCTCGTCTTATGTTTCAACTGTAAGCTCTTTGAGACAAGGGCCATTTTTTTTTGCTCTGTTGTACACCACCTAGCACAGTCTGATCCTGGCCCATGACCAGAGCTCCTATTATGGCAATACAAGTAATACCATAACTAAACACAAGACTCTTCACTTCATGTCCTAACTGGTATAGCAGAACACAGTAATGCTACATAACATTTGTCACAATTCATCCCAAAGATGGCTGTACTCCAACGAAGAGTAAAGCAATTCCTACATATATAGTTAATAAACTTCATCAAGCTCTTTGAGATCCTTAGAGATCAATATGCATAAGTCTCATTACCTCACTTATCTTCTGCCTTCATAGATTTCTTTACTGCTCTGATACATTCTTAAAAGCATAAGGAATGTAGTGGTGAAAAAAAGTAATGAAGGTATGAGGTAGTGCAAATACCATTCTCAGTCCACTCAGTACTGGTCTGCAAATGCTTTCAGGATTGCCTCAGGGGATCCAAAAAACCTCTCAACCAACTGTTTACGTGGAAGTGGTATGCAGGAGCTGCATCAGCCTATATTTATTTCAGAAGTCTTATG